CGAAATATAGAAGAGAATGACACGAAAATTTGCACACAAGTTATTGGCCCAGACCTTCATTAATAGGTACACGAATCTTTGGGAATACATCCAGTCCCACCAAGTCAAAAACAAAACCTCAGTAGAGTCCCTTTAACATAAGGAGGTCTTGGAAAAATATATTTATAGATTTTGGATTTATGTAAAGACACGCACAATTCTAGAACAATAATAACATTATTGTAATACATTGTACATGTACGAATATACAATGTACATACATGTATATGATATATTTTATATAGAGATCGGTAAGGTTTCAGAAAATAATGAAATTTTCATGTCATTGCAAAAGTGTAAGGGTTTACTTTCTTATTTTTTATTTTTTATATGCCTGTCATTTTTAATTTATTATTTAATTTCAATAGTGATTAGAATGATAAAAATGCAGTGTTTTATTTCCTTCTGTGGTTATAATAGTCCCTCTCTGGTTTTACAAATAAGTGAGCCGCATCAGGATATTACAGTTGAGGGACGCTCACGTGGTGTAAAATCCGTTTGATTGCGCAGACTATTTCATTATTTCTTCAACTGTTGATCTGTTAGGCTCAGTACAAATTCTCTTTAAACATTTAACGAAGTTAAAACAGAGGATTTGTTATCTAACGGGAGGACTTTGTAAAATAAATTTATAAAGGTATCTAATTTGTTTTTCTTCTTAAGATTTAAGAGTTTTACAAATAGTTATGTCATTAAACAACTTTAATGTTGATCGTTTATATTCATTTTTAAGTAATGTATCAGAAGGTTCTCGGATATATAATTATATAGCCTACATTTTCTTTAAGATTTTTTTTACAATTATTACTTATATGATTATGACCCTATCATTGTATTATAACTTTACTTTGTTTATCCTGGGATCATTCTATTTCCTGATAATTATATAAATAGGAACTTGTAAAATAATGGTGGAAAAATATTAATATCAGAAATAAGATATTAGTTTTCTATATTTATTTAAAGACATAATTTATGACATTTTTTTAAAAGCACAATAATCAGTTTTAAAATAACGACAGCAATAAACTATTCCCACAGACTTGCGATGTATACGGTTGTCTGATTATAACCTCTTGTTTGTTTTCAATAGATTTCAACAGTTTTGATGTCAGAGGTCAGCTAACTGAATATTTCAAACCGGACATTTAACTTTTACGTCACTTAAAGGAACTCTACGGAGGTCCAAAAGCCTAAAAATGTAAATTGACAATTAAACCTAAAGGATATGCCTAAGAAAGTTAGAAAATATAATCCTGTATGAAAATAAAGAAAAAAATTGAAAAACTTATTTTATGCTACTCTTTGCCCAATTTTAGAGAAAAGCGTTGCAACGTTTTTAAATTAAGGGGTCATTTTTTCACATTTAGAATGATGCTGTAAGAACAAAGTGAGCAAATGATCCGAAATTGTGCACACAAGTTTCTAATCTAGACCCACATCAAATGGAGCATAAATCTAAAAAAAAACTATTTCCAGTCCCATCATGTCATAAAGAACGTCAGTGGAGTCCCTTTAAATAACGTAGACAAGTGTCTCAATTATATGTATACGATAGTTTAGATATGCTTTAATTAACCTTTAATATGCTGGAACAGGAAATGAAAGTATGTTTCTTAATCTCTGACAGTCTGAATTGGCTCTGATTTACTGTTGGCTGATCAACCTTAATCGTCCATCTTGTTATACCAAAAATTAACAATGGACAGCTCCGAAAATAGAAGCTCGACAAGTTCATTTTAGACATAACAGGTTCACGGCCGTACTGGCAATGAAGGTACGGCATGTTATCTATTTTCAACATTAAAAACATTCATGTTTTATTGAGTTATTTTATCATGATATCATTCATGTTAAACTGTAAAGAAGATGACTGTTGAATTGTCTGATAAAAATCACCAAATCACCAAACTGTTTCATCAAAAACGTATTTTGATGGACGTAAATTAAACCCACTTCAACTTGAAACTTGTTTTTAATCGGCGTTTACCTAAATACGTAAAAGTATCACGCAATATGTTGTTTAATAGTTTTTTAAGTTAATGGTATAAGATTAATATCAATGTCTAGATTTCAAAGTTAAATCCATCTAAACAAAGTAAACAACTCGTTTAGAAAAAAAATCGCTGTAGGACAATAGGAAAACAGTTGAATCGTTCTTAAATATCAGCTAGGATTTTATTCAGCTTAAAAACCATATTTCATAGTTTTTACATACAAAAATCAAAATAAAGAAGTAAATGTCATCTTTCGATTGAGCATTTTTCCGGCAGTTTAATGAACACTTAAGAAGAGTCACAACTGTAAAAGTTACAATTAGATTACGCTTAGACAAAGACTACCGTTATAATGATTGAAAAGTTTGTTTAGAAGTCAAAATACCACTTTGTTCACTTTTTGCTACTTTTATCATAAAATGTTCCACATTTAGCGCTATTTTCTTCAAGTAAAAAGTGTCTTACACTATTTAAATCCGGGTTTACAACATAATACAACACTACACCACAGGTTTGTCTATCCTGCAATATAAAATTCTTTTCCGAGGCTTAATTTATGTGCCTTTAACGTACAGTTAAGATTATATAGGAGAAGACAAAGCATTTATAATTGCCAATGAGCAGTAACAGGACACAAAAAATGAAACGCTTAAAAAAACCTAAGTATTTTGAAGCTTAATTGGCCTTTAGGAATTATTACGTGACGTCTAGCGAACCACTTTCATGTATGAACATACACGTTTTATTTATAAATGCCACAACATGCACTTGCGTATGTTTTAGTTGTAATTAATATATTCACTATTAGATAACACGGAAAACTTGTCAGACGTCACATAATTTATCATTTTACCGCATATCCTTATTTTTTTAAACTATGATATTAGGCTGAATTATTTTCTTTAAGTTGCGGTAATTTAAACTGACGATTTTACGATATCCAGAAGAACACGTTTGCAGAAATGATGATAATTGTCAGTAATTTTTTTTTTTAATTCTCATTTTTGAGTTATCTGCCCTTGAATTTGATTATTTTCCAAAATTAAAGGAAGATAACTCTAAATACATTTTCATATTCTTAAAAAAATATTTGCAAAAAAATAGATAACTTATACAAGCTCGATATTTTATTTTACTGAGAATATAAGATATAAATTGCTGAAGGGCGCGTTCATTTTTATGTCATGTAAATTTTAAATATATTCGCGACATGTTAATGTAACTATTTTAATTATGAAACAAAGGCATAATTTACCAACATAAAAGCCAGTGGGTACACTGTCAACAGTAAAGAAATGATAATTTATTCTTGTCTTTTCATTTCTCCCTCATCAAAACAGCTTTAAATCTTTTTTGATCATGTTCTCAAATCGTTATTTGCCTGTGTGCTATAGTTAGCAGGCAGGCATGCATGCACAATGAGAGACACTATATTGTCTTAAGCACAGTTCATACACGAATCACTGTTACATAATATATCGCTCTATAAAAACTTTTACATGACAGGGTAGGTATCTTACATATTATTAAACACATCCCGAGGCTTTCTATGAAACATTTACAAATCTTACACTTACAGAATTACATATATACATAGAACAGGGGAATATAACAGGGGGTTGCATTTAGTTGTTATCTATTTGGCTTTGATCAAAGTGACGTTATGTCCATCTTAGTGTTCACATAAATATGAAAATAACGACATTTTGCCATAGTTAAGTTCAGTTTCATATTTTACCATGGAACAATATTCAATAATCCACATGACCAACAGAATTTCTAAAAATACTGTTCAGAATGTTTCGGCAACGCTAACTCCTTAAAAAGAATGGGACATCTTTTTTATAAATTAGTTTTTATATAGTATCATAATCATTTTTCATTATCAATTACTGGTCAATCACCATTATAAAAGCCAATCATTTGAAATTTGTTACTATTAAATTCAACTTAACAGCGACAAATTGCATGACCTTGTGAAATAAAATGTAAAATAACTTGTAAAATAACATGGGAAATTTTCTTTTTGGTATTTTGTGATCTGCTTTTGATATACGGATAAGACAGATTTATACTCAACAATTTAGCTAATATCTGAAAATAAGACTTCCAAGAACAGTGCATCAATTGGCGTGATCAGTTAAAAATTTGTTGAAAGTGTTTTTACAAAAAAAAATGTTGCTATCATATCATGGTACCGCTAGTCTTACTTTTTTGGTTGGTATTTAAGTCACGTTGACACTGTCAAGGTCATATGGCAACTTTCCAGCTTTCTGGTGTAGAAATATCTCAGATGCTCCTCTCTGCATTATTTCAGGCGCACGCGGGCGCCCGAGTAGAACCACTGACCAGACTGTAATCTAGCCGGACAAGCTACTCATACAAATCCTGCAACGTCTATTACAACCAATACCAATTCCCTCTTGGTTTGCATAAGGAAACGATAATATTGATGTATAGTGTGCATGGTGATATATTCTTTTTCAATGGCAAACGTATAAATCAACAAGCTATTAATTAAAAAGGCAATTTGTCATTATTTGTCTTACATACCGTAACGTGTTATAATTCGTTGACGTTATTGTAATAAAAAATTAATACAAATGTATGAACAGACGGTGAATGATTACCACAGCAATATAAATCTTTATGTAAATAAGGTAAAGATAAATAAGTAAGATAGAATCATTTATTTCACTACATGGTTGATGTTCTATGCGACAAATGATAACGTTTATAAATGAAAAATGCGTTGACCATCATGCCATGGTGATTAGACAGTATAAGGACAAATAATACAGGTGACTGGGTCAGTGCACCAAATAATGGTAGGTTATCGCATAACAAATGAGACATTTCCATTACCATGCATGTTATTATACAATCTGTTAATTAGCTGCTATATTTTATGTCCGTTTTTGATAACTTCATATATCATGTGTCCGTCTTAACCGACTAGCTAAATGTAATGCATACATTATTGACGGCTTATGTGTAAGTTGAACTATTTATATCTGTAAACAAAGAAGTTTCTTTCTATTTTTGTTTTAATGACTCGTTAAATGATAAATGCACACTGGGACAAATGCGTTTTTTTGCACTTAAAAACATTTCCGTGTCGGCTACATAAATGCTTGAAAACCATGACTCTTGCCATAGTTACGTTACGGTAACACAAATAAATATCATATTGAAACAAACAAAAGGAGAAAAAACAATTCTTCCATAATGGGTAAAAAACCAGAAACATGCACGGATTTATACGGTGAGTTTTTTTTTAATCAATCGGCGAAAATATTATTTAACCTGACCTACAGGAAAATGTGATTTCAAAACTTTATTTATTTATTTATCAAAATTATTTAAAAATGATGACATATTATTCTTAACTGAACTTTTTAATTGTGTCGGTACAATGTTAATCAAAGTGCTGAAAGAAGTGGGCTGTTAAATTCATATAATTTCTTGTTTGTTTGTTTTTTTTTTTTTTTTTTTTTTTTTTTTTTTTTTTTTTTTTTAATTTTTTTTATCATACATACACATGAAGCATTTACGAATGAAATGCTACATTTTGTCATCAAGTCGTCCGTGTCTCAACGGTGTGTAGAATTCTTTAAGAGTAAATAGGCATATATTAAAGATATAATTATATACTTATGTAAACAATCATATATAGACACTGAGTAAAAGATAAAAGGGAAACAAGCCTCTTTTTGAAAAAAAATCATACGGTGATAAAATATCTTTACAGAAAAGCACATTTGCTCGATATGAGACTATTTATAATATTTTAATGCGACACATTGAATGCATTCCCAAAATTAATTATTTCTGAGTAAATTAATGTATTTATACGCAAGTGATTCGCCTGATTGTAATGTCTCGTTTGTAAATGTTTAAAACTGCCTTAACTGCTTAAACTTCGCTGGTTAATAATAATTAATCTCTTAAGAAGATTGAATTAAGACTGAATCAGCCTGAAGACTTATACATTATTTTTAGCAGTCTATGATCATAAGTTTTGTAAAGACAAATGTTTAACAAGTAATTTAACACAAGTAATTGTTATAGATGAGGTGTTTATGTGTTTAAACAGCAATTTAAACAACCAATCATGTTGCTAATGCATCAAGCAAAAAGGAAAGGAATGTTTCATATAAGACTTTAAGTTGATGAAAAAATTGTAGAAATAAAATGGGCTTAGTAAAGCAGGAATTGCTCCGGACAGGCGCTCGTGTCCTGTATGTGTCTGACAAAGGTAAATAGAACTGTATTTTTATGAATGATATTCTTATGTTTGGATAATGAAATATTTCAAAAGCAAACCATATATATGTGTATAAATTAAGGCGCAAATGCTAGAATATATATGTCTGTTTTTATTTAAACGGTGCATATATATTGTTAAATATAATAATTATTGTTGACAAAAAAATCGATCGTAGAATAATTGCAAGTTAGAAAATGATTTCAATATAAAACATTTCGGACACATGGCGTGTTCTCTTATAAAATTTTAATAATTGTTTATGTGTTTGAAGACTGCGTTGAAACATCATCAACTCGTGAACATATAGTAAAACTTCCATTTTTTATTGTCAAGCAAACACACTTAAACAAACACCCAAAAGAAACTACAGACAAATGCTAAACAACAAGTAAAATAATTTATCAATGTTCTTATTTTCAGAAGAGAAAACTAATAACCGGGTCTACAAGACAGTTGTTGAAGTCAACTCAAAGGTCGAAAACCAACAAAAAGATAAAGAGAAAAAGAAAGAAACCATGTCTTGGGGATACTCTTACTCTAACGGTATATATATCACAAATTTCTTCTTTTGATAACTAAAACTATAAATATGTACATTACACACGTGGATATTAATTGTGAAATAGTGTTTTATTTCCGATATTGACCCTGTTATGTAACAGTAAGATTATTAGGAAAGATAATTCAATGTCATTTTTTTCCATTATGTTTTCCTCGAAAGTTAATGTTTTATATAAATTAAACAATGGTGATTAAATGACTAATTTTGATTATCAACATGTCATTTTAATTTAGTGGTGCGAAACGCGCACATAAGTCTGTTTTTAGTACATTTTACCTAAATTGTTACTTTAACACAGCATTATTTCTTTCCCCATAGAATCTTTTCCATTCTTCTTCAGTCCTCACATTATATATCACATAACGTACATTGAACAAAATTATTACCGTTTTTGAGACTTAGTGAGCCTTTAAACAGAACCATTGCTCATATATGTCCCCCATTAATAGAAACTTTTTTTTTAATTCCCGATTAAGAAAAACCTTCTTCATTATAAATTGTTCATTAACCTTATTCATCTATTTCATCCATAAATGCTTCATAAATATAAACTTTGTTTTTTAAAATCTGTTTTTAATTAGAAACATTGTTCATTATAAATTGTTCATAATTAGAAACATTGTTCATTATAAATTGTCCATGATTAGAAACATTGTTCATTATAAATTGTTCATGATTAGAAACATTGTTCATTATAAATTGTTCACAATTAGAAACATTGTTCATTGTGTAAGTTTTTTATATTACAGAAAACCTTGTTCATTATGCATTGTTCATAAAGAGAAATATTGTTATAATTTGTTCACAACAATGAGCGTTGTTAACTGTAAATTGTTCATATTTTTTTTTTCAAAAAAGTTGTTCACTATAAATTGTTTACAAGTATAGATTGTTCGTTCTACCTCCCCAGCATACAGCTTTGTCATTGTCGTTTTTGCGTCTTTGACTAGGTCCACATACATGGGCAGTGAACTACCCGGATGCAGCCGGTCATGACCAGTCTCCCATTGATATACATACTGGTGAAACAATATATGATAGCGATCTAGCAACCAAGCCTCTTACAATCAATTATTCGGAAGAGGATAGCTTCACAGCGTGCAATACAGGATCAAGTTTTAAAGTGAACATTAGTAAAACCTCTGGTGGGTATCAACAATAAGGACATATATTCATAAAGTTGTTAGTACGTTACATTATACCTTGCATAAATGTTTTTTCTTTACCTATACTATCCTAAGCTCAGCGGTCCTAAAATAAACAAAAATGTCACGGGTCCAACAAGAAGTATTTTCACCGCTCATTCAGTATGTGGCTCACTGGGTAAAATAATACCAAATGTAGATACTGAACGATAAAGCGGGCCTCTGTCACACACTTTAGGAATTCTTCTGAATTACCAAAGTAGAGATCTATTCTGTGTTTGCACACCATAGGTTTTGCGTGCACTAATACGGCGAAAAGCATACGCCTCAGGACTCCGCTATAATATTACATTGTATTTATTTATTATAACATTGCAAGCGGCAGCAACGATGATTTAGTTATTATCCTTCTTTTTACCGGTAATATTTTATTCTCGTTGTTGATTACATATATTATAAATATACAGAACTGAAAGATGGACCGTTAACCGATGTATTTAGACTGGAGCAATTTCACTTACACTGGGGTTCTAATGATGATCATGGATCTGAACATATGATTGATGGGCAGTCATACGCCGCTGAGGTATTTTACTATTTCTTAACTTTCATAACTATTTTTAATTACATAATCAGAAGGAAAATATAGCAACATCAGTACTACTACAGTATAATAAATATACGTATAAGATGAGACATTTTGTATTAGTTATCTTATTACTCTGTGTCATTAACTGTCATAACTCGCTTGAATATTATCTATAATATCTAAAACTGACTGTGTATTAAAAAGTATTTCTAAAAGTGGTTATCATTTTCTTCTCTTTTCATTTTAAATGAATCCATGATTAACGTTCAGTATTTTTGGTTTAACAGCTTCATCTTGTACATTGGAACTCGACCAAATATTCCAACTTTAACGAGGCTGTCAACCAGCCGGACGGTTTGGCTGTACTAGGCATTATGATCCAGGTAGCAAACAGTTTCTATGTCTGCATATTAACACATGTATCATTCTTAACAAACAATATCAGAATTAGACTATAAAGTAAAATTTCCTCGTCATTATATATTCTGGAAAAAAGACTTTCGTTTACGTATGTTTTAAATAGCACGCACGACTATACTTCCCTGCCCCACTCCTTGATTTGACATATAATATCATACCAAGGCCTTAATATAAGCTTATGTATTTTTGTGTGAAAATCATTTTAAACATTGACTTTTGACCTCCCCTATTCCATAAAGTTTGTGACCGCCATTTGTATAAACTCTGGCTTCGCATCTGTTGCAGTATCTATGTTATCACTCACATTTCATGTAACAACTGTATTCATTTGTTATATAACTTTATGTTGTTTTATCATTTCAAGTCTGGAGCAGAAAATACAGGCTTTAAGGACATGGTAGATACCATAAGAAACGTAAAGAAGAGTGGCCAAACTTGTCAAGTTTTGAAATCATTTAATCCGAAAGTTTTATTACCAGGTATGTATAGTTTGCACACCGTTTAATTAAGTTACACTTTTTCCTAGTTTCTGTGAATAGTTGTTGCTGGACTTTCCTAGGAAACATGTGTTCTTTCTAAACATAAGTAGTACGTTATAATTATTTCGTTTGTTTCTATATCGTAGACTCGTGATTATATTAATATATATTTATTATATTGCTTATATACATTTCACGAATTTCTCTAATATATTTTGAATTTAATCGATGTATAAGCATTGTATTTGTGTTTATCAAACCTTATGGTATTAAACCATTTATTTGTCAGAAAATACTAAAGAGTTTTGGACCTACCATGGTTCGTTAACCACGCCCCCTTGCTACGAAAGTGTCCAATGGATTGTTCTGAGACAGCCAGTACAGTATTCACCGAATCAGGTAAATAAATCAACCAAGCTAGTATTGTCCCGAATCACCAATTAATTAATTATTTGATTTGTGGTTCTACCGTCGTGATCAATCTAGTTTAACACTGAAAACACGGCATACATTATTAAAACTATATGTTTGTATACATTTTACATTAAAAAAAGATGCGATTATAACGTTGTGGGTATTTGAACATAAAAATGCCGCTTAAAGTTAAACCCAAACCCTAATGTAATAATTTGAATTATTTCCGCTAACATAAAATTAAGAGAAAATGAATCGCGAGTGTTATAAAAACATGAAAACTCTGATCCCCTCATTGTACAGAACAAATACAAATAGAAATATTTTCAAAATTGTTTAAGATATAATTTTTTCAGTTACAAGCTCTAAGAAGTCTTCTTTTTACTGAATGTGAAGGAGAATGTATTGTTGACAACTATAGACCACCAATGCCTATCGGGGGACGAAAAATCCGTGCATCATTTCAAGGCACGAATTTGTAAACCTTATATATAGTTAACATTTTAGGATTTTAAAAACTTTTTTTACTTATTCACTTAAAAAAAGTGTATTTTAGAAAAGGTGAACTAGTTAAATAATCGTAAAATGTTGATCATGTCTAGAACAGGATAAACAGACACATAAACAGGAAACTTTGCTTATGCAACACGATATGTTTTCAGGAAGTCTTTTATTCCAGAAATTCTGTTAATGAAAATTAATCTTGTTTTATTTTGTATTCATGTATCATATATATTAGCGTGTATTTAATGAAAAGTCTGCTAAACTAGTCAGATATTTCATTTGTGCACCCCTGAGTATATAATTTTTTATATTTTTTCCCTGTGTAAACTTGTGTTAAAAAAGAGACAGATTTTTAGTGCTCATATGATTTATAGTAATAATATACTTGTACGTAATAAATTATGACACAATATATCTTTCTTTGTTTTCATTAGCCTACTCCCGTTTTTTTTCACTTGTTGAAATGTATATCTGTCAAATATGCCTCTTATAAACTGAATGTCTATTTTATGAAGTTTCTTAATAAGACAACGAAATTCCCAAAGAATGTCAAAAACGGCAAAAGAATGTTGCAGGCACGGTTTGAAAGAGCCTGTTAGTACAGTCCCTGGGGACCTTTTGTGTGCAAAAAAGGTCCATAGATAAATGTTATATCAATGTAAAGCTAAATGTTTGAAGTTTACAAAAATTTTGGGTAGACATGTCAAATCATGGTACGTTTTGAGAAATCCAAGATGGCCACCAAGATGGCCGCCAAATTATTGAAAAATGGCTAATACGCATTTTATCTGATAAAATTAGTTATTTTTTGTATTTATTTTAGTATAAATGATGTAAGAACTTCACATCCTATTGGAACAATATGAAAATGGAGGCATTTTCATTTTTTTTTCATTTTCTCTGAATTTTATAGACAAATTTGCTAAAAAATGCATGAAAAAATTATCAAAAATTGATATTGGGCTGACATTTTTCCCTACCAGCTAAGGCATAGCAGTGTAAATGAATATTTTTACCATATACTACGAAGACTTGAACAATATCATACTAATATCACTCTTATTTTTTATCTTTATTGTAAAAGAATGTGGATTCTGATATTCTTAAAGTGGGTGGGGTAACGAAAATTAAGTCTCGGTATTTTGTTAACTGGTTTGTTATGATAATTAAAACTATGAATAGTCAACATGTATTGCATTTCGGCATGTACCTAAAGTTATAAGTAATTAAGAAACTTAGACTGATATTTTGTTTATCAATATTCAACATGTTCTGTTGCCATGGCAACGGAGAGGTAAAATGTAAGACACACCTGAAACGTATGACTCTTTCAACTTTTAGCATTTTAAGCATTTTGATAAGAATGACTCAAACTAATGGATTAATAATATGTGCACAATGCCATGGTAACAAATTGAAAAAAAATGTAACATTAAAGGGAGACACAGGCAAAATTTCTTCGTTTTAAATTTTTTCATTCATTATTCTTAAAATGTCCTCAAAATAAATACACTAGGCAGTCATAGGAGCAAAACATTTCTTCTTATAAAGAATAAAATGTCGGTTTACTAACCTAACCCGCGTGGGTCAGGTTAGAGCGTTAAAAGTTTACAAAAGTTGTCACAGTGAACTCTGAAACGTTTATGAACATGTCTAATGAATTGATTAGACTTGTTTCAATCATATAATATCAACAATATCTGTTATTGTAACTTCCATGGTTTTTTCAAGCAACATAACTTGTTTTTAAACTACTTGGCGATTCTGTCGGCGTCTAAATTTTGTTCAACATATTTAGATATTTTTATGCTTTAAACCCAAAATATAAAGAATCTATACAGAAATTCATGCTGAGATTTAAGAAAATGTCGTTTTAGCTTGATTTGAGTACATAAGATCATTTTAATATTTTTGTCATTAATTTGCCTGAGTATCCCTTTAAAAGAAGTCACATTTAATTCTAGCAAATAATCAACACAGATAACAACCGAATTTTGAAATTTATTTCAAGAATTTGCATCATGCTTTTTTCAAACTGCTATACATAGAAAAGGTCATGTCAAATGTGCATGTTGTTATGTTTGGAAAAGATAATTAATGGTGATAATAATAAGTAAAAGGCAGTCTTTAGGTAGAAATTAATATAAACATTATCAAATGTTTGAAACTGTACATAGGGTAAATATTTAAGACTTTGTAGCTAAAACTGGTTCAAAGTCTAGGTCAACCAATATCAAATTTTAATGACAATCGAATTTATTGTTGACTTCAAACTTTTTGATTGTAGCTTGTAAAATTCTAGATCACTTTTTACTGATCTCCGTGTTTAATTTTGCATCTGAAATTTTACAATCAAAATACAGAGATCGCTAGAACAGATTAGGGTCAGCTGGCATGTCATATTGTGTCTGTTATCCAAATTTTGTTAGCTTCAAAAGCAAGGTTTCGAGGTCTTAAATTCTAGGTCACCTTTTACCAGTGGGGCAATTATTTGAACAATCAAAGAAGAACATAAGACACTTCTTCCAACCAAATGGTCTTGCATTGTGGTTTCTGACATAAAGAGTTTTTTATATAAAAATCGACATCTAGACAGAGCCATTTTTATGCTCCCCGAAAAATTTCAGGGGAGCATATAGTCACCTGGCGTGTGTCCAAAACCTAGTCGGGGAGCATCACCCGGTTCAATCGGCTCTTCTTTTAATCCAGACTCATGATCATTATTTGATGCCTGCAAACTCAGCACTTTACGGGGAGTGTCGGATGTGAAGTCCAGGCGTCTCTTGTTCCACAGACAACAATTGATCTCGGACATTGAGTTTTACGGTCATTTGTCTGTCAAAAATGTTAGTACCGTAGCTAAGTAGAAATTGGTCATTACTCTTCTGGTTATTTACCCATGAAAGTCAGATAGTTTAACCGACCTTCCGGCTTTCAACAAAGAAGTGTTGAAATTGGCGTATAACCCAGGCCCGACCCTATCATGATTTAAAGAAACATGGTAAAAGTTTTCTAGAAATTGTTTCACATGCTCTAAACAATGGTGTTAAAGGGATGATTTTATAAAGGTTAGATTTTGTAAATCAATTGACCCTTGGGAAAGGTAATTATAATCAAACGGATCATGACTTAACCAAGTTTAGTAGTTGTGTATTATATTGTGACATAAATTGATATATATATGGTCATAGAATGAATGCTTCACACTTAAATATCAAAGCATTTTATTTATGGAGAAGCCTTTTCAAAGCCTTTTCTGTATAACACAAAGTAAAATGACTCCTGGGGTAAGGTCAACTTTGACCAGATTGTCACGATTTGAAAAATGAATTAAGGTCTTTTTGACAATTCTTTTAACCCAAAATCTAAGATCTGGGCATTTAATTTTGGAAAAAGATATGATTTTAAAAAGTTTTCCTATGTGTCACCATATGAAATTGTATCATAGTTTGGGGACTTTTCTGTTGAAAATGTGTAAGAGTTAAATCGTATACATGCACAGTGCGTTAACTGGAGTGCAGGACTGCAAAGCATGCCCATTGATTGGTTCATTTTGTCTGGGGTTTACATATTGTGACGTCGGGGAAAGGGATAGCGATGGAAATATCATATTCAGATTCTCGTTCATTTGTTCCTTTTTTTCTGGGGTTTCATATTGTGACATCAGGGAACGTGTTTTTATTTTTGACCATGATACAAAAGAGGAAGAACATCAAAACACTCGGCAACCTGATTTATACTAGGGGGGCTACGCCCCCTCGTACAATTTTCATTTAAATAAATTTTGTACTGGTCTATACAAGGCTACAACAGAAATAATTAGCTATAGGCATCGGTTTGGGAAAAGTTTTTTTTTTATTTTAGCTTTTCCTATATGTAAAATGAAGTGACCCCTGGCATAAATGAATTTGACCATAAGGTTGTGATTTAAGCAAATTTAAGAGTATTTAATACTACGTCCTGCAGTTATGGAGAAGAATATTTTTATGTTTTTCTTATATTTACACTGACTAAAGAAAGTTTACTCTGGGGCTTCGCAAGAAACATGAATGTGTACTACTTGACCTTTTACCAACCATGACCTTGATGTTGTGTCATGCATATCATAAGCACATAGTCTCACAATATTGATTATTTGTGCCAAATTATTTAAAATCTTCCATAAAGTCAAAAAGTTATGGAGAACATATAACCTTGACCTTGGTTGCAGCAACCTGGATGTTGAGGTCTGTAGATTGTGTCGTGGTGGGGATCATTTGTGCTAAGTATTTTTTTTAACCTTTGAATTGTCAATAAGTTATAGAGCGGACATGAAAAAAAGATGTTTTACATTGGACCGTTGAGTGTGACCCTGACCTTCAGGGTTGTGACTTGATTATTGTGCTCTGCCAATGGTGTCATAATGTTGATAATTTCTGTCAAATTATCTTAAAAACATTTCAGAGGTTTAAAAGTTAGAGACAGACACGAAATGTAGACTTTCTAACATATGACCTGTAAGTGTGACCCTGACCTTTCGGGTAGCAATTCAATTTTTGCGACCTGCACATCGTCTCATAATGGTGATCAATTGTGCCAAGCTATTTAAACAAAATGTCATAGGTTTAAAAGTTATGGAGGGGACACGAAATGTAGATTTTCATACATTTGACCTTGACCTTTGGTGTAGCAACCCAACCTTTGCGTTCTGCACATGTTCTTATACTGGTTATCAATTGTGCCAAGATATTTTTTAACAATTTCAGCGGTTACAATGTTTGAGCGGACACGAAATGTAGACTTTTTATTAATAAATGAAGACTTTTAACATTTGACCTTAAAACGTGACCTTGACCTTGAGGGTAGCAACCCAATTATTGCGCTCTGCATATTGTCTAATTATGGTGATCACTTGTGCCAAGTTATTTAAAAAAAATCAGGGGTTAAAAAGTTATGAAGCGGACACGAAAATGTTACACAAGGACGGACTGACAGACGGTGGCCATTCCTATAATCCCATTTTCGCTACGCGGAAGGTGATTAACAATGTTGGGTTAGTCCCATCTGAAAAAGCTATACATATAAAAGCTCAAGATCTTTTTATTTATTTCTGGGAATATTTGAAAACATTACGCATTGTCAGTTCTATTTTTAACTTCTGTGACTAAGATATACAATAATCCGATTTGTGCAAAAAACAACAACAAAACAAAATTTCTGTCAAATTTTTACGTCACATCAACACTAAAATGCTTTGTGGCGACTTTCCTGCTTTACTGAGGAAGACCTAAATATGATTCCCTCCGTGCATTATTTCATAATATTGACACCTTCTGGTCATCTTTTAAGGCAAACCAGAATTACAAAGTCTATAAGAAAGTGAAATTTGGCTTATTCAAATAAAGAAAACATTAAAATTGTTTGTAA